AAAGTGCATGCTGTCTTCTTCAACTGCATTTAATTTTGACAATTGAAAATCACATAATCAGGTTTAGTCAAATATCAACATGATGCTTCTGTAAGTTTATTCATTCTGATAGGTAAGTGCCTCAGAGAAGAGATGCTTATGTCTATGGTCAGACAGACAGAATTAGGAGCCAAGGCTCTATGTAGCCTGGGGTTGACCCAGGAGTCAAACCATGAACTACTTTGTGAACTAGGCAAGTTGTTCAATCTCCCAGTATCTCAGTATCCACAAATATATAGAAACTGAATGATAATCCCCACCTCAGGGAGTGGTGGTTAGGATAAAATTAGATAGTTCACACATAGTCATCATACTAATCCTTTGCTCATAATGAATCTCTGTGAATATTACCTATTATTAAAGTTTATTTGCAAGTGTGATTTTTTTTGCATTGTCCCCATTTATCTATCGATGCAAAGTTTTTGTAATAGTAACATTATTGAAACCAGATAGAGTTTCCTCTTTTTTTCTTCAACCCCTTATTTTAAACTTTCCTTACCCTTTTTTAAAACTGTTGTTTGATTTTTAATATTTGTTTTCTATTCTTCTACTTTTGAAGGTAAATTTTGTATATAGATGAACAGACCGTACATGTGCAATCTGATGACTTGTGACAAATCTATATAATTCAGTGATCCACATCCCTATGAATACAGGGAACATTTTTATAACCCCCCAAATTTTCCTCTCATGCCCTTCCCAGTTAATCCTACCTGACTCCCCACAAAGGCAACTCTTCTAATTTTTTGGTAAATAGCCAATGTATATTTAATACTACAAGGACAAGAAACCGCTCAAATTTTTCCAATTTTACTCTCCCATCAGCAACATTTGCAAGCTAAAATTGTTCCACAGATTTTCCAATATTGGGTATTGTCATATGTTTTTTAGCTATTCCAATAGATATGTAGGAGTATTTTACTATAATATTAATTTGTATATAGCTGGTAACTCATGATGTTCAGCCGTTTCATGTTCTTTTTGGTCATTTGAATATCTTCTTCTGTAAAGTGTCTATTTTTAAGTATTCACCCTTTATAAACTTGTTTCTTTTAAATTATTAATTTGTTTGAGATAAAGTTTTTTTTGTTTATTTTTTTATTTTAAAATATTAAGGGGGTACAAATGTTTTTGTTATATGGATACCTTTTATAATGGTTACGTTGGGGCTTTTAGTGTGCGTATCATCAGAATAGTGTCCATTGTACCCAATAGGTCATCATGTATAGATATAAGTTTTGTGAATATTTTATAGCTTTCCTACCCCTTATCTTTTCTTTTCCCCCTTTCCCCTTTCCCCCCTTTCCCCTTTTCCTTTCCTTTCCTTTCCTTTCCTTTCCTTTCCTTTCCTTTCCTTTCCTTTCCTTTCCTTTCCTCTCCTCTCCTCTCCTCTCCTCTCCTCTCCTCTCCTCTCCTCTCCTCTCCTCTCCTCTCCTCTCCTCTCCTTTTCCTTTCCTTTTCTTTCTTTCTTTTTTTGTTTGTTTTTCTTATTCCTTTTCTTAACAGTATGTTTTTGGCTAGCAGAATTTTGTTTTAATTTTGTTAACATCTAGTTTTAAAAAATTATGGCTATTTTTTTGTGTGTTCTAAGAAATTTTTGCTTACATTGAGGTTGCAAAGGTGTTATTCTAGGTTTATTCTAGAAGCTTTAGGATAGAATTTTAGCTTTTAGTTTTAGGTCTATGATCCATCTATCTTGAATATTTTTTTTGTGTAAGGTATAGGGTGAAAACTGAGGTTCATTTTTTTTTGAGACAGAGTCTCACTCTGTCACCCAGGCTACAATACAGTGGTGTCATCATAGCTTAATGCACCTTCAAACTTCTGGCTCAAGCACTTCCCCTGTCTCAGCTGCCCAAGTAGGTGGGACTACAGGTCCATGCCACTGTGCCAGGTTGAATTTTTCTATTTTTTGTAGACATGAGGTCTTGCTCTTGCTCAGGCTGATCTTGAATTCCTGGCTTCAAGCAATCTTCACTCTCAGTCTTCCAAAGTGCTAGGATTACAGGCATGAGCCCCTGTGCCCAGTTGAAGTTCATTTTCTATGTATTGTTACCAAATTGTTTCAGCATGACATCCTTTCCACCCTGACTTGCATAGTGTCTTTTATATAAATAAGACTATATAAAAGTTAGTTGTGCCAGATTCTATTTCACCAAGATATCCACAACAACTCCCATGCTACAGCTCCTTATATACGTAACTTTGACACTATTATCATTGAGAAACACAGTTTATATGCTTTCCTCTTGAAATTGAGTGAGGTTTTATCACTTTTCAATCAATAGAGTACCCTTGAAGTAATGCCATGTGACTTCTGAAGCTAGGTCAAAAAGGTAATACAGCTTCCTCCTTGTTTATTGACATGATGCACTTGAGGTCCTGAACTAGTTTCGAGGAAGCCCAAACTTCTTATGTGGAAAGACTCTCTCACAATAAACAGACATTACATAAAGAGAGAATTGTCAGCCAACCAATGCTCCAAATTTTTACTGTTCCAATTCCTGCCATCATCTGACTCCAAAAACATTAAAGAGGACAAGCCAAAACCATCCTGCTGAGCCCTTCCCAAATTCTTGACCCACAGAAACTGAAAGAGATATTATACTTGTTTCATGAAGGCACTGAGTTTTATGGTGACTTGTTATACAGCAATAGATATCCAAATTATATTTTGGTTTTAGGAATGGGGCACTGCCATAAGAAAAACATAAAAGGTATGGCTTTAAAGATTTTCTTTGTTAAACAATAGGGCTTCTAAATATCTTAAAAAGTTATCACATGATAGTCACAAAGAAAGCTCAAGGAATAGAAGGGCTTATGTCAAAGAGTTTTGCAGATATAGCTTTAGTTTAATGAAATGTATTATAAATTGATACATGAAAAACCATAAGAGTTCTTTATATGAGATGATACCTATTTCTCTACCTTATAGTTTATTAAACTTTGTTCTGCTATATCTAATCTGCAATCTAGATACTAAGTTTTTAATTTCAGACATACTTTTCATCCCTAGAATTTCCATTTCATTTTTTTTATAGTTTTTACTTCTCTGCTGAGATTCCCCATTAATTCCCTTTGATAACATTTTCTTTTAAATCCTTGAGCATACTTATAATAGATGTTTTAAATTCTTTGTTTTATAACATGAACATCTGCACCATCTTAAGTTTGGTTTATATTAACTGTATGTTTTCCTTCTTATCATTAAATTATCCTGTTTCTTTGTATATCTAGTAACTTTTGATTGTATCTGGACATCATGGATACTAAATTGTTAAGGATGTGGCTGTTTGGGTTTTCAGTAGAAATTATTGAGTTTTTTTACTAACAGATATATTGGCAGGTCATTTACATCATTTTGAGGCTTATTTTTAAGTTTTTTTAAGGTAGGGCTGGAGTATTCTTTACTCTAGAAATACAGTAGCCTAGCTCTTAAAATGTGACCTTTGCAACATGACATCTGAGCATCCAATGTGTTTGGTAAAGTCTTTCAATTCTGGTTGGTCAGAACTCATATATCTCTCTTTAACCTCCAATATCTCAGCCTAGCTCACAAATTTCCTGTTTGCCTCAAACTTTTCTCAGTCCTCAGTTTCACCCTTAGGTGATTACTTTCTCCTATCCCTGCCACCTATTGCTTAATGTCTATAAATGGTTGCTTCATGTAGTTTGTACAGTTGTGTAGCTGTTTATGGTAGAAGACATAATTCAGTACTACTGTGACATTGATAACAGCCTTGACTTTGTTTTTTATTTGTACCTAATACCTTACCATAATTGTTAATGTTTACTTGAAGCCAAGAACATTTTAGGGGAATGATATAAAATTAAATATATCCATAATTAAGAAATAAATGATACCCAAATATAGCTTTAAATTATTGATTAAATAAAATATTAACAAATTATATATCATAATAATAAGATCAATGTCCTTGGATAAAAGTCTCATCCTAGATTATCAATAAATATACTTCAAATTTTAATGACTTTTATAGATATAAATATATAAAATGCAAAAAATAATATAAATTATCCAACTCTTTCATACATGAGATATATAAATTCCAAACAAATACCAACATATAGAATATGTAATGAATATAATGTGCTAATTCTACTTTTATATTTGACATCCAGTTAGCTTTTATTATTAATATTTAATTTGGCTGTAAATTGTCATTTTAAAGATCAGAAGATAGCAAAATTTGTAGCATAATTTTTACCTGCCAAGTTCAGAATAAAGTGGTTTGACTCTCCCTATATCCCATTTGTCAATGGTATATGCCATTACTCAACGTATTAATGAAGCCCAGAGTACATCATAAAAAAGAAAACAAAATTTTTAAAAATCTCTGGGAATGAAACTTGGACATACACACACAAAAATGACTAACTATAATGCTTATAAACTTTGCTTTTATGTTAATTTAAACACATAAATACAATTAGCTTAGCAAATTTTATTTCTTAAATAGTTTTTTCATGCCTTTTTATTTAAAAATTTTCACATCTTCTATTCTGTATTACAAAACATGTATATACTTGAGATCTTAAAACTATCCTAGTGTGTTAAAGGTTTTTTGAAGATATTTTACTGTGTTTTAAAAAGTATCCTCTAAGTAGAATAAACTAATTAGTAGCAGTTATGTCAAATTAATTAACAGTTTTCTATTTTTTAGGGATTTATTTGATTTAATATAAAACTGATTGCAACTTTCAGACCAAATTGATAATTTGTAAATACTGGGCTGAAAAGTTTACTTGACTAGTTTTAGCATCCTTTTTCCTCACAAAAATAAATAATCAGGCTTTGTATTCTATAATATTTTTATTAATTGATGCCAACACTATAAATATTTCACAGAATGCAATATTCATTTCTAAATAAAAAAGATAGTAATGGAAAATACATTAAAAAATCTTAATAAGCAATATAAAAATATTCACATATTTACCTTTGTAGGTTAGCTTGAGTCGTGGAATATTTTGCTTAGAAGTTCCAATAACTGGAAGAAACAGCATGGTCATGCTTAGCATCATCAAAGCATGAAAAAGGTGAAAATCTTGGCTTCTGGTCTTTGGTCTCTCATCTTTATTAGAATTCATGATGAAAACAATGTTCTCTTTCAAACAGTGTTAATTTAATCTAAAAAATAAGAAAAATAAGACTATTAAGATAGCAGTTGGGAGATTTTTCTAGACTTACTAAATTATAATTTTCTGAATGTATATAGATTTTTAAAAATAATTTTTCCTTCTCTCATCTTTTGCTCTTCAAAATTATTGCAGAGGAAATGAATCAGAACTGAGTAATAAATTCAGGACTGGCATTACTCAGATGTAGAAATGAATACACCACTAGAAATTCAACTATTTTGTTAATTAACATCTCTTCCTCTCCTAAAGTTGTTTTTGGTTTTTGTTTTAAATGAAAATGTTGAAGAACCAACTTTTACATAATTTGATGAATTTCTTAATCAGATAAGAACACCAGTAAAAACCTCCTATTGCCCCACATCATCCCCAAAGAGAAAGAGCCCCCAACAGAAACAGACAAAAGCTGTCATTTTGAGAAAGTTCTCTTGTTTCTGACTTTAAAGACATTTTAAAAGTCCATTTAAATTGGAGAAATTGGGTAATATCAGGTCAGGGTCACCAATATAGATGTTAGGACTGGAATAATACAATCTTACTTGTACCTTACACTATTCCACACTAGGCAGCACTGATAGAAAAACAAATTGTAAAATAAGAGTCTATAAGTGGGAGGAAGTAGTTATTAACTAGGCTGCCATAAATAAGCTGACTTGCTTGTTTTCCTTAAGGCATGGACTAAATCAAAACACATAATTCAAACTAATACTAGTAATAAAAATTATAAATAATACTTATTTAATATTTATATGTGCCAGATACTTTTCAAAAAATGCTTTACTTACATCAAATGATTTAATTTTAATGACAACTGAAGGCTAGGTAGTTATTTATCTCATTTCAAAGATGGGGACACTGAGATATAGAAGTAAATAGTTCTTCTAAGGTCACATGGCAAGGAGGAGATGGATCAAAACAACATATAATCAGGACTTTAGCTAGAGTTGTCTGCTTCTTCACACCCAAGTCTTTGGTTGCTTTTCATTATGGTATAATAAAGTGACCTTCAACTCCTGATGGAGTCTTTGACTTCTCTTCCTTTTCCATTGACTTAGTGCTCTCCTTCTAGGAAATATCTCCCAGCACTAGCTGTGCTGGCCTTCAGGGAGGATTCTGGATGTGGTACCTGCTTTAACTGTCATTCATATAATTTCTATACTTTCTTGGTAATAGCTTTAGCCATAATAAAAAAGTATTAGACTTTAAATAATTTTCTAATTATTTAATATTCAAAATAAACATTTTATACTGATGCAGTGTAGTTTTAAGAAAATATCTAATAAAAGGTGCATTTTTCTTAAGCAAGATCAACCCCTCACTGTACTAAAATGCTTCACAGACTTTGCATATCAAGGTTCCAATTACCTCAAATCTCAGAAGTTAAGATCAATCTGTGAAAGTGAAATAAGATCAAATTTGATATTAATTTATGTTTATGCATGACAAGCATTTAAGGATAGACTTCAAATTTTGTTAATTTTCTTCATGAAATGTTGAACGTGAATGCTTAATAAATTATATTTTCACAATTATTTTCATTTCCTTCAAAGATACCTATAGATATTACCAAATTATTCTTTGTTTATAATCAGTGAATATTTAATTTTTTCTTGTAGAAGGTTATTGCATATGCAAATAATCAAGTTTATTTAAAAATATTGTATTAATTATAGCGCATATCACATTTTATTCACATTTACTTGACATTTCTTGAGTATTTTACCTAATTAGAAATAATTTGAGAGAAAACAGGACCATCCTTCTGACCAAAAAGATCTAATACCATCAGAAGTTCTTTATAAAAATTTTAGTTTTCAAAATTTCAATTATTCATGTTAATAGAAAATATCAATAAAGTTCTTCTTTACATAACATATGAATAAAGTCTAAAAATTATATTATTTCAAAACTAGTAATAAAACACGTTTATGGTATTGCTGCAAACCAATCACTTTAGCTGATCTACAGAAAAATATTTATCAAATTAGATTTGAATTGTGTAAGTGTTAAATTACTCAATCTCTGAAGATATGCATTCTTGCAACTTTTTAGTTTTGTCATTTACATTAGAAAAAATAGATGTACTCTTTGACTTATAGATTCTCTTCAAAAACATGCTGCTTTTATGTAAATACCATCACAAGTTTTAGATATTTATATTTCTATATATATAGAAGTATATGTAATATATTTGCAATATTTGAATATATGTAATATACTCTGATCAGTCATTAGCACCATAACTAACCCCAATCATTTATTAAGGGGAAGACAGATAAAATTCTTTTCTGAAAGAAGTGGCTAATTATAAACAAATAAAGGACCATAAAATAATTCTAAAATTAAGATATTTATGAGATACTATACAAGAGAGCTCAAAGTGTAATATAATTTTAAGCAAAACAATCAGTGTTACGGAGTACAGAGAAAGGAGAATGAAAAGCAAACAGAAAAAGTTCCAGAAAACCGTGAAACCTGGTTAAATGTTCCTGAAAAGCAAGGCTGGCAGCATGATAGACTTGATTAAATGACTATAAAAAGGAAGAAATAGTGTAGCGTAATCCATTAAAGTGGAAGAGAGAAGACTAAAGACGAACTTGAGCTAAATCTTAAATTTGCTTCATACCTGTTCTGGTACTTAATATATTACGACTCAAAACAATGCATCACTCCATACTGCCTTTGATATTCGATCATGTGTACTGGTTGCACCCACATTCATCAGAGCTTCTCTAATCCATTTCCTTGTTCCTTTCACTTTTCTCTATATCCACATGTTAGCAAAACACTAGTATCTGATTGCAGCAGTCCCACAGCCTCAACATACAAACATGTATTCTTCCTCCTACCCATACCCTCTGAAAAAAGTGAAAGGTAAATTGAACATAAAGACTGAGTATATTAAATTTCTCACTAGGCTTAGTTTTTCTGAGTTTCTGGACATGTGAAATACTACTTTTTTTAAAATGACATATAACAATGCATATAATGGAATGCATGTTTATGTACATAAGAAAAAGAGAGGGAACTTTCCATCTGTGCATTTTATTAGCAATAATGACCTCAGAACAGGACATTTCCTGGGAATTAATGACTAGTTGGGGTTAATGGTCCTTGGCTATGTATTGAGATATCTACTCCTCCAACTGGTCATTAATCGCTAAGACATGCCCTGTGCCTCCAACATCGTAAGTTAAGAAGATTGATGTTTTGGTTTTCAATGAACAGTAGTCATACTGTTTCTTGTAACCCAACTCATTAATATTGTTAAATAAGTTAAAAATCAAAGCACTGCTTTCTTTACTACTACAACATTCTGATAAGTGCCCGCACGTGCTGCAACATATACTAAGGGGGAGGAGTAAAACAAAGCAAAAATCCTAAAACTGCTATAACTTCTTTTTAAAACCTTAAATATTTTTCTACTATAAAACAGTCACTCCCTACAATCTGCTTCTCCTGATTCTTTGTTTTTCTACCCAACAATCCTTTGAATTCAATAGTTAATCTTTTAATTGAGACAATTTATGGGTTAAATGTCTAGCCAACAACCTCTGCACTAAACCATTAATATTTTGCTATCTTCCAGTGTGTGTTTGTGTATGTGTTTTGTGTGCACATACAAGTGTGTGTGTCCTACATCTGGGAGGAATTATAGAGAGAAGGAGGTGTGATTTAACCCAAAGTGGGTGGATTTAGTGAATTGCATAGGTTGTACTACATGCTACTGTCTGTAACAAGCTCGACCTGGAGCCAATTAACTGCATATAATCTACTCCAGATGTTCACTGGGACAAACGGCACTCTTGGGGATCTTCAGATGTTGAGCCAATAGGGAGTGTTCTGATTATGAGAGATTTTTACACACTGTTCCACTAAATCAGAGATCCAAATGCATAATCTAACACTCAAGAAGGCCTTGTGCCTTTTCCCTAAGGACACAAAGAGTCCAGAACTTAGTAGATAGATGGTAACTCGTCAAAAATTTTATTTGAGGAGCAAGAGATATAAAGTTTTATATGTGAACTTTATTTATATCCTTTATTTATTTATATCCATTTGTTCCAAAAGCCATTAGTGTGGAAAAATAGCTTCTGTGCATGGGATAATAATCAAAATACTATATAAGGTTTCACACATGAAAACCTAGAACTCTTAGATTTAGAATTCTTGTGTGTGTCTGTCTGTTTGTATGTGTGTGTGTGTGCGTATGTAAACTTGGAAGGGAGAAAAAGAATCTTAGATGTTTTAATTTCATAAGGAACTATTTGTTCTTCACATCTTAGTGGTGCATATAAAGTCATTTGATTTTTTTTTTACCCACTCAAGAAACACAATGAGCTATGACTACTCCCAGATTAAAACCAACATATGTATAAACTCACTTTGGCTATTGTTTGATTAGATGATTTTCCTGTAGAATGTACAAGACCAATCAATTATTGATAACACTACTTCATGGCATGACTGTAAACAGCAAACCAAATATTAATTACAGAAAAAAACCTGAAAGCCAAAGAGGCAATATCGATAAATAAATGAGAATCTTTCTGGTTACAGAGGGCTATTGTATATTCCATTGATCAAGTGCACTAATATCAAAGAAGGATGCAAGTGATACATAAGAAGGTCCAATGGGATAGAACTTAGAATCTTAGAATTTTCACTTAAATGTATTTTATTTCATACTTTGTAAATTCCTCTTTTGTGTATTTTCTAATACACATACATAATAATCTACAACTTTGGTAACAAACGAGAGATTATGCAATCACTGCTTAAGTGTATAGTACTATTAGTGATCAGATGAATTTATAGGGCAGAAACCTTTTGTTGAAAGACTTTAATTATCCAAAGGAATTCGTTGTCTATGAATATCATAAATTCCCCATCAATTGATATATTCCAATGGGTTCCAGAAGACCATCTGACTATTCAGAGATCATGAAGAAGAGTCTTACATTTGATTAAATGTTAATCAACTTCCTAACA